TTTGCCAAAGTATTAAACAGAAATCTCTTGGTACCGAAAAGGATTAGTTTCTTTCGTACTCAGGATTAGAAAGGAAAGGATTAGAAACCTTTCGTAGACTGAGAACTTCCGTGATATTTCAGTAGGTTTTATTTCAGGCCACCTGCGTATATATTATTTGCAAATACGGCCAACGGCGTCTCAGCAACAGGGGTAAAGAGATTAAAAATTATTAAATATTTTAATTATAAAAAAAATGTTACAGTTTTTATATAATTTAATGTTAGATGCATGTACAGTGGTTAGAGTACGTTTTGGAGTACAGGTGAAGAGAATGCACGCAGTGTAATATATAAGAGCAGCGTTACTGGGTGACATAGCGTAGATAGCTAGAGGTTTTCAGCAGGGAGTCTCTTCTCTTGTGCAATCTGGTCATGGATGGGCTGGTAGCTATATTCAGACATTATGTCTTGGTTTAGCGATCTGGCCATCTTAGCTCAACTAGATTTATTAACACCGTCAGAGATTTATTGCAAGGGGCTTTGACTGTAGTTGCAGTATTTACTTCAGATATAGGATTTAAAATAAAACCCTAGGAGCTTCAAATCATGAAATTAACTAGAAGGAGGAATGTGAAGATATAAGGTTCTTCTAAACATAAATTTTACAAATTTAAACAAGGTGAATTATGTAACGTACGTTGGGGTAATATTAAATTTGAAACTTAATTGGAATCCGTAGATAGAATAATTAACCAAGAGAGTAACTTCAAATATAAATATATGGAGAAGATGTAATTCGGAAAGTCGGTTTATTATATTATTAAACAGACAGAGAGAATGATGATAAGGGTAATTATATAATTAAATCTTCTTCTTTGCGTTGATACATATACCTTTGGCCGTCGGATTGTTTATTTTATTGTTTGTTGCTTATACGTTATTGATACTCCCATTTTTTCAGTAGTCTTTCCTCTGCTCTGTCCAATTTCGTATTTTATTTATCCATTTTTTATCTTTATTTTCATTGCTTCTATGATTTTCTTACTTAAATTATTTTGGTTTTTCTTTACTAGGTCTCCGTACCAACCCAAATATTCTCCTCCTATCTCTTTTATACTTTAAGTTTGTAATTTATTTATATGTCTAATTTCTTTATATACACTTGAGTGCAAAAAATCGACTCAAAATTATTTTGCCGAAAGTACGTCTCCTGTTTCAATCAAAAAAGTTGTAAATTTAAAAATATTTAATATACAATTATTAACCCCATTATTGAGTTTGAAAAAAGTTTAAATCCCATACGCACCCACTTAGCACATTTGGTTAACATCGTAAGCATCAATTGCCATAGCAACCCACTAATACATCAGTCAATTAAGTTCGCAACCACATAATAAATGGATACCACATACGCCAAAGCAGCTTAAGCAGTAGCATTATTGAGAGAAGACCTGAGTCAGAGAGCCGTGGCAAATCTACTAAATTTAAGCCAATCGTCGGTACCAAGATACTGGTGATTATGACCGCCGACAAGGAGGAGGTCGTAAACGAATAACAACAGATAAAGATGATCGATTATTTATATCGGTTTAACGAGGTTTAACGGCGGATCGTTACATCGGAGATATTTTGGAGAAACATGTAGTTCCATACGCGGGATTTATTGATAATGCCTTTATTTTATTGCATGATAATGCACGATGTCATCCCGCACGAGTCACCACCACCTATCTGACTGAGTTCGGTATACCTACAATAAATTGGCCTGCGTTGAGATCGGATATAAATACAATAGGGCATGTTTGGGATGAGCTTAAACGAAGGGTTCGGAGCAGAAATCATGCACCAAGGAGCGTAATGGAATTAAGAGCTGCGCTTAATGATGAATGGGAAGCAATGTCTCAAGAATTTATTAGAAAAGTCATCCGATCCATGCAAAATCGATTGGAAAGTGTAATTAGGAATAGTGGTGGTAATATCAGATACTGAAAAAAAAATCATTTTGTAATTGATTTCTCTGTTCATTACGTCTTTCTTGGTATAATTCCAATGATGAATAGTATGTATATAAATTTTTTAATTTATGTTTGTTAATTTGTAAACTGTCTCTTGTTTCAACTAATTGTTTATACAACATGATCTCAGAATGTCCATTGTAGTAAGCTTTTTTACACATTTAATATCATTGACTGCTACATGTCTTTTTGAGGTAACACACTTGTAATAACTTTTCTATGAATGTTCGGTTTTTCATATTGTTTTGACCGAAAAACCCACCACTCATATTTATATATATATATATATATATATATATATATATATATATATATATATATATATAATTAAATAAAAGAACACTATTAATAAATTAGCACATTTGATATTAAAATCTTATTTTTCTTCTAATCATAAAATACCCCATAAACAAAATTTTAAGGGCTTATTAAGGTATACAAGTCATGCATTCTCGGATGCAGCCCTATTTATGTTGAATATTGGCAATCTTGATGTAATTTTCAAATGCAGAGCTATTCCCCCAAGAAACATTTCTGCTTCAACCACCTGTCTAGTCAGCCAAAACTTTGCGCAAAGTCTGATAACTATGCTGATTAAATCCATGGAGAATGCCGTCAAACATACAGAGTGGAGCTTTAAGCGCTAATATTCTCTTTGTGTGCCCGTACCGTACCGATGATACAGATTACTGCTGTGTTGGGTGTGAACAATAGTTATAGCGGTTTATTAGTTTTAAAATATATCGTCATATTAAAATAGCTTAAATTTTGGAAATGCATATTGTTTTGGTTAAACTTTTTGCAATATAAAACAAAAAATAAAAATTTCTACTACATGTTCTAAACCAAAATTCAGATTCTCAGATCCCAAAGTTGTGCCTTCTACGATATACAAAGCAAACAGCCGATGAAATAAATCGACATGGGGAATCTAAAATTGCATTCCATATCATATCGCTTAATATTGTTCTGAAGCTATTTTCTTGTGGCATTTTAAAGTAATTACTATTTAAATAGAAATAAGCTACAATGAAAGGTTAAAGTAAGCTTATTGACGTTTCAATTTCCACTTCGGAAATCGTTCTCAAAATACAAACATTAGTAAATTAAACAAATTTTGTTTTTTTGTTGCCTGGTGAAAAATTCTTCTAATAATTTAATTTTATCTGACTTATTTATATTGACAATTCAGACATACATTATACATTTTAAAGTAGACGACTTTAAAATGATATTGCCAGTATTGTTCAGTTGCGTGCCTGGGACGACTATAATTCAATAAATAAAAAAAAGAGAAAAATTAAAGAAGCGGCTCTTCTTATTCTTCTTCGCGTGCCATATCAGAATTATCCGACGTTGGCGATCACCATTGCGAAGGGTTCTAGATCTTCTGCAATATGGAATAATTGTCCTGCATTTGGTATCTGAGTCCATTCACGAATATTTTTTAACCAAGAAACTTGTTTTCTTCCTACACCTCTACGGCCCTCTATTTTGCCTTTAAGGATCAGTTGTTAAATATTATATCGACTTCTTCTTACTATATGTCCCAGATAATTAAAAGGAAAATACCAGTATTAGTAAGTCAGTAACATATCGAGGATACATCAATTATGTTTCTTAAATAACAAACATATAAAATCAGAATTTTTTGTTTATTGAAAGTAAACTAAATGTAGGACCAAATGCTTACCATGTCGGGATAATATTATAAGGTTTTTTCCTGGTTTTTCTCTCATAATTTACTATTGAATCACTAACAGGAGAATTTTACTGTCATCATGGCATGTGTTTGTCTTTTTAAAGACGAATTTCATTCCATGATTTTTCTGACAGATATTCTCAAGTTAAAGTTGGTTTCATGTAATCGAATGAACTATCTTACAAGTAAAGTCGTCCCAGGAACGCAACTCAACAAGATTAGCAATATCATTTTAAAGTTGTCTACTTTAAAATGTATAATGTATTCCATTTTTCAAAGTAAAACACTTGCACGTCACGATTTATACAAAGTGACGTCACTTGCGTTTATAATTTCCAGAACATCAACCTTAGAGTTCAAATTTTCCTAGCACAGCTAATAATACGAAACCTATACGGAACTGTTCGATCTTTCATAGGCGTCAACATGGTGTAATAATCAGGAAAATGTAATTATCATTATATTTTAAATTTTAGAATTATATTAGCTGACCCGGCAAACGCTGTTTTGCCTTATAAATTATTTCTAGTTTCTAGATAAATTGTAGTCTAGACAAAAAGTTCCTTACTTATTATAAGTGTGTAAGTATGTGATATATGCGTGAAATGGGCGAGGAGCGCTATGAACGATAAGGGAATATAAAAATAACAAATGAAAAACAATATTATTTTCAAGTTATTATAGTTTATTACTTAAAATTACATATCACATATTAATTACGATAGTAACCCTAACAAACAAAATCAATCTTTTTTAAAAATTTTTAGTACATTGTTCATCTGCCATGCAAGGCAATGAACGATGAAGAGTACCACATGGACCATGGATCATGTTTGCTGTAACAGTATCAAACAGCACTTGCTCAATAAACGGATCTGGAATTTCCGCAGAAATGATACTATCGATTTCTTCAGGACGGATTTTGTCGGTTAATCAAACCAAAATGTGCGCATGAGGTAATCCCTTCTTTTGCCGTTCAACTGAATACAGCCAGCAACGTGTAGGACTGAATACATGTAATTTAGTAATGTAACTTATTGGAGACTTCAACTTTTGTCTGAATACACGTGCTGTAGTGTCATGACGATGTATTGCATTTTGGCCAGGCAATGGCAAAGATGTAATCTCTGGCCATTTTGGATTACATGTAAACGTGATAAATAAACACGGTCGTCCATATTCGCGCACGTAAGCCATAGCATCCTGTATATATTTTTACATATGACGTGGACTGCCTATATACGATGATGGTAAAATGACAGAGTTATCAATTTCGGCCACGTCGGAGTTGTTAATAGCATCTCATAAGTGAACGTACTCTTCCGCAGGCAGCTTGAGGTGATTATATCGTAAGTATCGTAGTTGTTCGCCCTCTATCTTCGCGTACATATCGAAAATCAATTGTTGACAAAGCTCACGACATCGTAGAATGACGTTGTCCAGGCCGCGCCGAATCATTAATCGGTACGCATAATTGTCTTTCGAGCTAACGTTCTTGTTTGTTTCAGCTCCTGTAATAATATATTTATGATTATTAATTTAAATTAATTCCGTTCAATAATTTAATTGTTTTGTTAAATTGTTAATGATAAAAGAAGTACCTGATACGGGATCTCGTTGTTTTATGTTTATGCAATATCCCTCTTGCCTCTTCCAGAATATTAGCGTATATTGGAGAGAATCATATGAACGATGTGTATCAGCAATGAACTGAAGATTATTATTACTTCTACGAATCACAATTTCTTGTGTACCTGTACAATCGCCAACCATGATTCCAGCAACGTCTTCAACAACAGGTGGATTGAATCTACGAATATGTTCTCCAGCTGGTGTTTTATCAGAGTTAATGACAATAGCGTGATTATCGCTTTGTAATTTGTGCATGTGTGATTTGAATATTTTCAACAAGTCATTGTGCTCGTTTAATAGAGCGTCGAAGTCACTGACGATGCGCCTGGCAAAAAATGAATCAAGGTTATTATAGTCACAACGTGCATTCACGTGATTAGCAAGTGCGCTTTCGGAATCCTCGCCGCCCATAAAGTAGATTTGTAAAAATTTATGTGGTTCGTTTGGCATTGGCAGCAATGAGCCCATTTTATGATAAACTTGGCCTCTGATTTTGAATGTAGAATTGTATTGTTGACCATTAGCATTAGTATTTCGAACTATTTCTGTTGCTCCAAACAATGTCATTTGAAAGCAGCAATTGAATGTTCGAATTGACTTCAGGAATACGTTAGAATCTGGATCCGTGCCGATAAGTAAACCATTCAATGGTTTAGATGGTGTTTCAATTTCAGGTAGTTGCACTTTTCCTGACGCATGACAATGCGGACATTCCTTATCCACACCACCAATTACCACTTTTGAATGAGCATAATATTGAATATCGGGCTTCAACTGGAAGGCTAGTACTGGAAGGCTAGACGCAAAAATGAATCAGATGTAAACGCACGATGTACCTGTTGGCGTTGTTGGTCATTTGTTCTGCGTCTATTAACCGTAAAACGGCGTGATTGTCGTTGTTCTAACCGTATAACTTTATTGCGCTCAGCTCGTGTATCTTCTGATTGTTCTTGACGCAATTGCTGAATGGTCACACGTGCATCAGCATTTTGTTGGTGGACTTGTTCTTCAGTTCTTTGTGATCTTTTATCTCTCATACTTCTGGACCTACTTGTATTACGGCTCAAATCAGCCCCTTTGCGTTTTCTTGGCATTGCTCTCTCTACAAAACACTTATAAATAGAATTAATGAAATTACTTAATGATGGAAAACGTTATAATTATAATTACGGCCAAAGGAGTCATTGGAGTCAAAAATTCAAATCACATTTTATAAATTAATATACACTTTATTAATTAATTTTATATTATTATATATTCTAATACCAATTACAACGATATTTTAGAAAAAAATTATTACCGCTCCTGGGTAACACCTCTCGAAAAAAGTCAGCAGCGAATGTGTTAAGAATGTTAAGAACCTAAGAATGTCATCGCCTACTATTTAAGTATCTAAATATATATTTTATCTTCAACAAAGGGTTTATAAGTTTTTGATATGAGTTTATTTCGTGCTTTACCTCTTATAAAACATTTTCTATCGCCTGGTGTTCACTTTGTTATCGTTAAATAAGTATTGCATATACTTATTTTATATTGCTCTTACGTGGTCGGAGTCTATTGTTCGTTTATTATCATCCATAGTTAAGATACTTAACTGATGTCTTTGCTTTCTAGCTACTTGTACTTTTTTTAATTTCTCGATCATATTTATTTTGTAGCTCTTCACTGACACTGTTACTCTATCCAACTTTTCTTCGCTACTTTTATTAATATTGTGATCTTTTTGGGGATTTTCTTATGTTTTAACACGTACCCAGATTTCTTCAGTAATCCATTTCTATTTCTGTTCTCGAGTTCCCAGTTTCTCAAATATCTCCGTTACGGAGATTGGGAACTATCACGACAACTCTTCCTTTCGAAATAACTGCTCTAAAAGATTGTCCCAAGTTGCAACATTCTATTCTCTTTGATTTTACAGCTGAGATATTTGGTTCTTTCTTCGCCTTCTATTTTGTCCTGAATTAAAATTCGCCAGATTCGGTATTTTTCTCAATGAATTATAGGTCCGTGATTTTTGTTCTATTTTGTTTCTTTTATTGCCTTTTTTCTTCATTTACAAAAATTAAGTACTCATAGCATTATACATCCACTTTTTAAAGGACTTCTTGCTTCCGCTTCATTCAGAGTCAACGATTCGAGTCAACAAGTCGATGGTATAGAACACTGTATACAAATACATAACCTTTTTCATTTTGGTTAGGTTGGCACTTTTTTTCAATTTTATAATTCTTAAATCTATCAATTGATATATAAATAATTTTCAGAACTACAGCATTAAATAACTTTGTAACATTCTTTATTGTTAAGAAGTATAAGATTTCGTGGTTGGTGTTTCGTAATAATACATTATTTTTGGGGTTTATATACCGTATCTGGGATTATTTGATCGTAAAAATTGATCTTCAACTGCACCATTTTTAGCATTTGACACTCTTGGACTCTGTCAGTGGATCGAAATTGATATTTGAGATCAAAGTATGTTTAGGATTTCGTATTTTCTAACGCTGAGATGTGCATCTTGTTTAGAGCCAGATACTAATGCTTACTGTTGATTATTTGATTGATTGTTTTTTTGTATTTGGATAGCTTCTCTGATCATCCGTAGACACTATACACATGTACTCCCATCAAAGTTGGAAGAGGAGATGGAAGTCCTACGACGATATAAAACTGCGTACGTCATAAGAGAGAGTCGGGTTCCGCAAGAGTGCTGATCTAGTAGGAACTCCACCGGACCTCTGGGTATTGACTGGTGGCAAGCTTTCCAGATTTCCGTCAGAGTATTGCTCTGATAACAACTTCACTAGACCTAAGGTATTGTCTGAAGGCCAACCGCATCTGCTAAAGTGTTGAGCTAGTGATAGCTTCGTACCGAGTCTTGACAGACGGACATACCTATCTTTGCCGCGATCAAGTACTTATTAGTCGTTGCCTGCTCCTCACGGGACCGAGTATTGATCGGCCCGTTCAATCTCTATTCCTTCAACCCATTGTACCATGCCTTCAACCCATCCTTTTCCGTCTTCCTGTGTCGTAATTACCGTTTAGATTTTCTAACATTAATTGTATTTTATTTTTCGCAGGTATTAAACAATGGGTATTGAGTGGCCGATACAGCTGCCCCTAGGATTAACATTAAAATAATTATGTACATAATATTATTATCTCAGTTACAATTTTATTTTGTTATTTTATTTATTTAGAATTTAAATTAAATCTGAGTTTTCCGTCTAAAGTCATCTCTTTGCCCATCAAAACAGCCACCCGTCATAATATTCTACTGAGCACCTGTCTCGTTTAAAAAAAATTTGTTGTTACATTGTCAGTTCGTGTGACTCGTGGCGACTGACTTTTTGCAGTAACCAAGTCAATAGTTCCTCTTTTTGTCAGTGTTTACACTATGTTTTCTTGTTCTTCTATTGTGTTCGAAGTTGGACTTTACATCTTCTTCTGCTAAGATGTTTTTGTTGTCGAGGCATTACTTGTATTAAGTAACAAATTAAGTAAAATGTGTGAAAGTCAAGGATCACGACTGTGTTCAAAATTTACAACAAACATGCTGTTTTAATATCAAGTATGTATTGGACTCATTGGACAGTTTTATGGCTTAGATCAGATATTCTGTAGACAGTATCGAGAAAATAAAGGATGTAACACTGACATCAAATGCATATTGGTAAGTTGAGTACAGTTATTACAAATTTTATGTTAAATGTTAAAATTTAAACAAAAAGCCACACAACTAGCAAGAACTGCAAGTTGTAAAATTCATTACTAGAAAAAGCCATTTTGTTGGTTCTGTTATGTGGATGAAACTTTTGAATCTGAAATAACGAGGTTGACAAACTTACAACATTTAACAAATTTACTAAGCCTCAAGTTTCAGTTCATTATGAAATTATAGAATCATAAACAGATTGCATTCTTGGATATTTTAGTCGAACGAAACCCCAACGAGCATGAATATTATGGGAAAAAAGTGCAAAGAACTATTCTCCACTGCAGAAATTTGCTGCATCTGCTGTAGTTGTGATTCGGAATTACAAAACATAATTTAAATACTCATTTGACCTAACACCAGAAGACTACACTACAATAAAAGAGCAGCTATGTAAATCTAAAAACTTCTTCTTCTTTTAGTGCCTATCCTCTGTGGATGTTGGCAAAATCGTTGGTCCATACAACTTTGTTAACGGCTGCTCTAAATCGATGTATGGTAGTCATTCTTGCTCACTTTTGCCTTCTATCTTGCCTTGTAAAATTGGTTGAATTAGTTGATACTTCTCATTGCGCATCACATGCCCTAAGTATGTCATCTTTCTGATTTTCACGATACGCATAATTTCCAGATCTTTATTCTTACGTTTTATCATGGTGTTGTTTGTAACATAATGGATATAGGAAATTATGAGCATGTAGTGGTAGAACCACATTTCAAATGCTTCTAATCGTTTGGATGTTGCCTCCGTCAAGGTCCAGGTTTCGATTTCATTTAAAAGGGTAGAAAATACATATCATCTCAAGACTCGTGTTCTTATATCAATGTTCAGGTGCATATTACACAAAATCTTCCTGAGGCGATTGAAGACAGCTCTCGCCTTTTCTATATGACATCTTATTTCCTGTGAGTGGTCCCATTCCTTATTTAGGCTGCATCCAAGGTATGTAATTTTGTCGACTATTTTGTAGGGTTCATTATTAGCTGTGAATTGGTGCTGTATTACGTAGTTTTTACTTACTACAAGAATTTTGGTCTTCTTACAGTTTAATTTCATGCCATATCTGTCACAGGCTTCCACTACACGGTCTATTAATGTTTGTAGATCCCCTGCATTATCAGCAATTAAAACCGTATCGCCCGTATATCTTAAATTGTTTATGATTTCAATATTGATTTTTATACCTTCTTTTAAACCATCAATAGCTTCCCTGAACTGCATTTCCGAGAAGTATTGAACAAAGTCGGTGACAAAATGCAGCCCTGACGTACTCCCCGTTTTATCGTGATTTCTTGTGAGGTTTGTTGTCTACTCGTGCAGTTGATCTTTGCTGTAAATATAAAGTTTTAATTAGGCGTAAATCTTTGTCATCAATACTAGATTCTTTCAGTATCTGAAATAATTTTTGATGTTGCACCTTGTCAAATGCTTTTTCAAAGCCTATAAAGCATGCGTAGACTTCGCAATTTACGTCTCGAGCTCTTTGTATCAATACTCGTATGGAAAATAGGGCTTCTCGCGTTTCCAGTTCGCGTCTAAACCCAAACTGAACATTGCTAATATTTTCTTTAAGTTTTCTATATATGCGAGAGTGAATAACGGAAAGATGTATTTTAAGTGCATGGATTGACTGTAATCTAAGAATACCCTATCAAATTTAATAATAAAGAAGAGAGTTTATATCTAAACAAGATATAGATTTTAGTACTACGAAATACAAAACAGGGAACTCCAATACCGATTATGACCAACCAATATATCTCTGGGAGAACATTAAGGCTATAATTAGGGCAGATTTTTAAGAAGCATCACAAGTTAGAATTATTATATTTATTAATGCAATTTCAGGCGAAACATCAGGAAGAAATAATTTTAAACCACAGCCAATATACACTGAAGGGCAAAAAAAGTCCTCACCCTATAAATTTCTTCTTCTTCTTCTTTTATTTCTTGGAGATCTGTTTAATTCTGAAGCTGCATCTGGTTAATTTCCTGGGAGATACATTGCTAACTATCCCTTCATCTTTTAGGTGGTCTTCAGGGAGGTCTTGAACCGGTCGGGTTGTTTTCTAGGGCAATTTTTGGGAGTCTATTCTCATCCATTCGTCTTACATGATTGTACCACATCCTTTTACGATACCTTCCCCATCTTACAATATCTTGAATTTTGCACTGCTCTCTAAAGTTTGTATTTCTTACCCTGTCTCTTCTTGTTTTGCCCACTATTGTTCTAAGGGTTTTCATTTCGGCAACCCTTAGTATCTGTTTCGTTTTGTTGGTATCTTCGCGCACTTCTCTGTCATACGTCATGATCG